TCTGGGAAGATGTTACCTACCTCGGAGCGACTAAGCCAGTGCACCACGACTACTAAGCCTGTGGTCTAGGGCCTGAGAGTCTAGTTGCCCTAGATCATGTGCTCAGCAACAAAAGAAGCCACCACACTGAGAAACCTGTGCACCCCAAGGAAGAGTAGCCCCCACTTTTCACACCTAGAGAAAGCCCGCACAGCAAAGACCCAGCACAGCCAATAATAAGTAAACAATTTTTTTTAAAAAAAAGCATGACAGGCACACCATTTTTACTAGGAACCTAGAGGTTATCATACTAAATGGAGTAAGTCAGAAAGAGAGAGACAAATATCATTACATCCCTAATATGTGGAATCTAAAATACAAATTGATGTATCTATGAAACAGAAACAGACTCACAGACATAGAGAATAGACTTATGGTTGCCAAGCAGGAGGGGAGGTAGGAGAGGAAAGGAATAGGAGTTTGAGATTAGCAGAGACAAACCATTATATATAGGATGGATAAACAATAATGTCCTACTGTATAACACGGGGAACTATATTCAAGGCCCTATGACAATCCCATATGGAAGAGAATATGAAAAATAATATATATTATAGATATAACTGAGTTATCTTGCTACATGGAAGAAATCAACACAACATTGTAAACCAACTATACTTCAATAAAATTTTTTCAAATATCCAAAAAAGTGGAAATAATACAAATGCCCATCAACTGACTAGATAAACAAATGTGGGATACCCATATAATAAAAGACTATTCGACAATAAAAAGGAATGAAGTACTGATACATACTACAACATGGATGAAACTAAAATATTTTGCTAAGTGAAAGAAGCCGGTCACAAAAGACTACCTATTGTGTGACTTTACTTATATGAAATGTCCAGAATAGGCACCTCCATAGGGAAAGAAAGCAGATTAATATTTGCCTGGGAGAAGGCAGAGCAGAAATCGGGAATCAGTGTTAACAGATACAGTATATTTTAGATAGCGATGATAGTTGCAAATACTGAAAATATACTAAAAACTACAGTGGAGTTCATGGTATATGATAAAAAGAAAAACCTTCCTGCCAATGACATGCAGCATACAGAAGAAATGAGTTTCATTGTTCTGAGCCATGGAAATTTGGGGTTGTTGGGTTATCACAGAATAGCCTATTTTAATAATGTACCTGATAAATAAACAATTCATCTATTTACCTACAAATTAAATCAGAAAATCCATGCCCTCTCAAAATCTTTAGACAAAATTCCATCATCCTACATTTATCAGGTTATAGGTCTCTGTATCAAAGCGAACTTGGTTTGATATGAATCTCTATATGTGACTGAACACTACTATTTGAAAGTGTCATGAAATTCAGTGAGGGCCTTAAAACCTGAAAATACACAGTAGATATTGGAATAAATCTGCAAATATTTGTTAAATGTTTCCAAACATTTAGTTTTATTTTCTATGATTTTACTTTGTCGTCATCTTAGACAACAAAAAAGGGAAGATTAAATGCTGGATAATTGTATTCTTATATGTTAAAAAAATTTCTTTTGCTATTTTGAAAATTAAACATCATTCAAAGAATTATAATGCCCTTAATACTAGTGTATAAGCATCAGTACAACACATTTAAAGTGAATTAAATAATAATCCAATTTAAAATTACACAAGGTGGTAGAAGATATACTGTATATATATCTGCCAAATCACTTTATCATAAAGTGATTTCCAAATGCATCATTTCTTCTATTTTCAAAAATCCTACCCATCAAAAAGTTCTATTATCACATAGATTGTGATAATAGATTTTCCTAATTATTATCATAGATGTTTTGTTAATTGTGTGAGGTTACATGTGATCATTCTGTCTTACTTTTTTCCTTTTAAAGCTCACAGGAAGATTTCTTCTTAGACTGTATGTAAGTAGTCAAGGACCTTATGCTTATAGAAATTATATCTTAGAAAACCAAAATCATGTCTCAGATTTTTAATGTCTTGAAATATCCCTACCAGTGTTATAACTGTCATTTCTACCAAACATCGGGATTCTCTATACTGATTTATTAATTGTTGTGGTGGTCATTTGATGGCAAAGCAAATCTAATGGGATATTTAAGTATAAGTGTATAAATTTTTTAAAAAAGGGAGGACAGGCCCACCATTTTTACTACAAATTGAAGGTTTGGGGCAACTGTGCCTCCAGCAAGTCTATCAGTGCCATTTTCCAACAGCATCTGCTCATTTTGTATCTGTGTCACATTTTGGTAATTTATACAATAATTCCAACTTTTAAACTATTACTATGCTTGTTATAGTGATCTGTAATTAGTGATCTTTGATGTTATTACTGTAATTATTTTGAGATGCCACAAACCCCACTCACATAAGATGGAAAACTTAATTCTTTAGTGTTGTGGATGTTCTGACTGCTCCACTGACCAGCCATTCCCCCATGAGGGACTGAAGAGACCAGCCATTCTCTTCAGGCCTTCCTCTTCCCTGAGACACAACAATATTGAAATTAGGCCAAGTAAGTGTTCAAGTGAAAGCAAGAGAATATGCCTCTCCTTTAAATCAAAAGCTAGAAATGATTCAAGTTAGTGAGGAAGGTATGTCAAAATCCAAGATGGGCCTCTCTCACCAAAGGCCTATTCACTTCTATTCACCAGCCAAGTTGTGAATGCAAAGGAAAACTTCTTGAAAAAAATTTAAAGTGCTACTTCAGTGAAAACATGAATGATAAGAAACAGAACAGTCTTATTGCTGGTATGGAGAAGTTATGGATAGATCAAAACAGCCACATACTCTCTTAAGCCAAAGCCTATTCCAGAGTTGGGCCCTAATTCTCTTCAAGGCTATGAAGGCTGAGTGAGGAAACCTCACCTCTTTTCAGAAGAAAAGCCTGAAGCCAGCAGAGGTTGGTTCCTCAGACTTAAGGAAAGAAGCCATTTCCATAACATAAGAGTGCAAAGTGAGGCAACAAGGGCTTGACGTAGAAGCTGCAGCAAGTTATCTAGAATATCTAGCTAAGATCATTTTTTAAAGTGGCTACATTAAACAACAAATGTTCAATGTAGATGAAACAGCCTTCTACTGGAAGGAAATGCCATCTGAGACTTTAACAGTTAGAGAGCAGAAGTTAATGCTGGCTTCAAAGCTTCAAGAGATAAGATGACTCTCTTGTCAGGAGCTAATGGACTTGGTGGCTTTAAGTTGAAACCAGTGGGTGATGCAGTGGTAAAGAATGTGCCTGCCAATGCAGGAGACACAAGAGTCTGAAGTTGAGAAGATATCAGAGTAGGAAATGGCAACCCACTCCAGTGTCCTTGCCTGGAAAATCCCATGGACAGAGGAGCCTGGTGGGCTACAGTCCACAGGGTCACAAAGAGTCAGACACAACTGATCACACACGTGTGCACACACACACACAATGCTCACTTACCATTCCAAAAATCCGAGGTCCCTTTAGGATGACGCTCAATCTACTCTACGCTGTGCTCTATCAATGGCACAACAAAGTGTGGATGACAGCACATCTGTTTACAACACGGTTTCCTGAATATTTTAAGCCCACTGTTGAGACCTACTGCTAGGAAGAAAACACTCCTACTCACTGACAACACACCTGGTCACCCAAGTGCTCTGATGGAGATGTACAATGAGACTAATGTTTTCATGCCTGCTAATACAACACCCATTCTGAAGCCATGGATCAAGAAGTAATTTTGACTTTCAAGTCTTATTATTTAGGAAATACACTTTGTAAGGCTAAAGACAGAAGTTCTTCAGACAGGTCTGGGTAAATTCAATTGAAAACCTTCTGGAAAGGATTCATCATTCTAGATGACATGAAATAACATTTACAAATCACGGAAAGAGGTCAAAATGTCAACATTCCTATGGGAGTTTGGAGGAAGTTGATTCCAACCCTCATGAGAGACTCAAGGGGTTCAAGACTTCAGTGGAGTAAGGAACTGCAGATGTGCTGGACACAGCAAGAGAATCAGAATTAGAAGTGGAGCCTCAAGATGTGACAGAATGGCTTCAATCTTGTGATAAAACCCAAGTGGAAAAAAAAAAAAAAAAACCTAAGTGGGTGAGGAGTTGCTTCCTATGGATGGGAAAAGAAATTGGTTTCTTGAGGTGGAACCTATTCCTGGTGAAGATGCTGCAGAGACAGTTGAAATGATAACAAAGGATTTAGAGACTATCACATAAGAATAGATGGTAAAGCAATGGCAGAGTTTCAGAGGACTGATTCCAATTTTGAAAGTTTTACTTGTGGGTAAAATGCTATCAAACAGCCTTATGTGCTGTGGAAAAACAATTCCTAAAGGCAGAAATCAATTGATGTGGCAAACTTGATTGTCTCATTTTCAAAAATTGCCACAATCACACAATCTTCAGCAACCACCATCCTGATCAGCTGACCGTCATCAACATCGGGGCAAGACCCTCAACCCGCAAAGAAATTATAGCTTGCTGAAGGCCCAGGTGATTGTTAGCATTTTTTTACCAAGAAAGTATTATTTTATTAAGCTCTGTACATTGTTTCTTAAGACATAATGCTATTGCACACTTAACAGACCACAGTATAAACATAACTTTTACATGCACTAGGAAACCAAATATTCATGTGACTAGGTTTACTGCACTATTCTCTTTATTGTGGTATAGGGAACCAAATCCACAGTATCTCTGAGGTATGTCTGAACTTTTTTTCTTTGAAGATTTTATTACTTCTGATACAGCAAGAATGAGCACAACACTCTATTGGTTCTCTCCCCCACATCCCAGTTCCTACTGGGGTGACACAGATGGATTCATTGAGTGCCACGCATGTGCTAAGCTGTGTTACACTGAGGCACGCTGAGTTTGGGGACTCCATGCTGAGAGGCATATAGAATCTCAGTTCCCTGGCCAGGGATCCAACACGCAGCCCCTGCACTGTAAGCATGGAATCTTAATGACTGGCCCACCAGGGAAGTCCATGAACTTACTTCTAAGACGATCGTTCGGATGTTTTTCACGTACAGCGTCACATAGTCATTGATGTAGATATGCGAGTAGTTGGGCTGTGTATCATACCAACCCATCATTAGTGCTGCTTCATTTTCATTATTTCCACTCCATGTGATGATGGAGGGATGAGATTTCAATCTCCGGACCTAAAATTGAAGAAAACATAAAACAATTTTCAAATGCTCAACATAAAAAGGCTCAGAGTTGTAATTATTCATAAAATTATAGCCATTGCCTTTCTGCATGTATATTTTTACATATCAGAAAACTCATCAGAAAATGAGCAGTAATGTTACATGTGGGAAGACATTTTAAGAAACCTCTGACATTCTTTTTATCTACATTTTATGAACATTGATAAAATATGGTTCCTCGTCTCTTTTATAAAAATTGATGAAAATATAATCCCTTTTACTAAAGAGAAAAATAAATCAACTCATCATTATCTGACTCACCACAAAAAGGTTCTAAAAAGTACAAAGGGCAGGAGGCATTACATTACAGAGGTTAGTTTCTCAAAAGCAAGTTGGAGTTTTTGAGGGAGAAACAAATAAGGTAGAACAAACACTACTGCTGAGAGAGGGACTGAAGTCCCACACAGTCGTCTCCAGCAAGATCAGAAAACCACCAGGACAGGTAGAGAGAGCTTTACAAAGCAAGTGAGTACCACAGAGATTCTGAAATTTACAAAGACATGAAACATTCTAAAGGAAAAAAGATTACGACATCAAGAGTCTGTCCTCTGAAATAACTACGTCATATCTTAAGACTTTGGCCACTTGATGGGAAGAGCTGACTCATCGGAAAACACCTTGATGCTGGGAAACACTGCAGGCAGGAGGAGAAACGGACAGAGGATGAGATAGTTGGATGGTATTGTGTTTCAAGGTACATGAGTTTGAGCAAACTCTGGGAGATGATGAAGGACAGGGAAGTCTAGCATGCTGCAGTCCATGGGGTTGCAAAGTGTTGGACATGACTTAGCGAATGAACAGCAACGTCTTAAGAAATCAACTAAGGTTAAGTCACTGAATTTATCTAAATACAAAAAAAGAAATTGAGGAATCTGAAAACGCTGCATGATCTGGGCTCACTATAGGCCAGCCCTTCATAGAGGTGAAAGGATTCAGTTCTTCTGACACATTGGAAGATAAGCACAGCAGAAGAGGGCAATTAAATCTCTCTGAGAACAACAGAGTGAGTCAATGGTCAAGAGAAATTCTTTTGGAACATGTTTTAGCAATATAACCTTATTGGTTTTCATAGCTTCTCTTGCACTGGAATGGATGACTACACGATGGACTTCAGCTGATGTTCTCACTGTGGTCTCCACTCAATATGCTAAGTAATCCACATGTGAAATAGAGATGTATTAAGAATACCTTAAAAAGATATATGTAATTTAAAAAATTAAAGTTTGTGTTTTTTCTAAGCTAGTCTTATAAACAGTATTTCCTTATTTGCCTCTGAAAATACTGTTTATAAGGTAGCTTCCCTGATAGCTCAGTTAGTAAAGAATCCACCTGCAATGCAGGAGACCCCAGTTCGATTCCTGAGTCAGAAAGATCGCAGGAGAAGGAATAGGCTACCCACTCCAGTATTCCTGGGCTTCCCTGGTGGCTCAGCTGGTAAAGAATCCACCTACAATGCAGGAGACCTGGGTTCGATCCCTGGGTTAAGAAGATCCCCTGGAGAAGGGAAAGGCTATCCACTCTAGTATTCTGGCCTGGAGAATTCCATGGACTGAATAGTCCATGGAGTTGCAAAGAGTCATACACAACTGAGCAATTTTCACTTTCATTTTTCATATACAGGTAAAAGAGGGCTATGACCAGCTGTGACAGGCATGCTTATGGTACTGATGAAAATACAAATACCGAAGAGACAAAAAACTTCAGTGACTATGCTGCACACACCCTTCAAACTGACCTAGAATTTTATGGTGAGCTTTACTTTAAATTTTAATAAACCCTGCACAAAAAGTTCTCTTTAATAATACATAAAAGAACTGAGAATGCATAGATATATTTTAATTGTGTGAAGGAAAATTAAAAATAAAACTGAAATGTTTACAACCTACATAACTACAATTAATATTTTAAAAGTTATTCACTCATCCATCCACCTATACATCGGGTGAATAATACAGCCGGGTCATGGGGGAAACTTGCCCTAAGCCTCAGGGAGATTACAATCTTGATAGAGTGACAAAACATTGAACAAGTAATTTCAAGTGTGATGTATGTCACAAAGGGAAAATGACCTAATCTAGACTTGTAGACACAGTAAGTTTCTTCCCAGAGAGTCATGCCCAAAGTAAGACGAGTCAGAAAAAGAACGATTCAGATCATCCGCAGGGGAGGGTAACAGGCAAGGCATGCCAGGTCAGGGAAAGTACAGGGAATATGGTATCTAACGAGGCTGGGGAGACAGGCAGAGACAAGAAAGTGCATGGTGAGGATCTTTAACTGTATCTAGAGGGCTCTGAGTAAGGGATGATTCAATGCTCACTTTCTAAACTTAAGAAAAAGCAGACACAGAAAACAAACTATGACACAATGAATTATTATTATAAGGCAATCACACTTGCAACACCATCTAGGCTAAGAAAACTTCACCAACACCCCAGCAGCCCTCATGTACCCCTTCCTAATCATAGCCATTCCTTTCTTCCAAAAGTAACCACTATCTTGAGTGTCATAATATTTTTTTCATTTCTTTTGGTTTTCCCCACAAATATACATTCACAGACACCAATGATGAACTTATAGATTTTAAAATACTCGATGGATTTTGATCCACTGACATTCTTATCCTTACTGAATTTCAAATTGTCCCACTTTTGGTCAGTCAGTCTCATCAACGTTCTTCTAACATATCTTTGGTAGCTTCCATGTTATTTGTATGCCAAAATATTCCAGCATCATCTAGTATATCTCTTGTTCGAGACCTGGAACCAGCCATTCCTCTAAGAACCCTTCTTTTAGCGGGAAAGACTATTTCAATATAAGGATGCTCAATTTAACTAGGCTGTTCACTGTTTTTAAGATTTTTCAGTGAACAGAGCTAGGATATAATCACTTCTTTGCATTTACAGATCTATAAATATAAGGTATTTATATGTGGAATGCAACAGAAATCAAGGAGTTAAGAATCAAAATTTTTGGCCTGAGAAATTCAAAGACTGGTATTGCCATTTATTGAGGTGGGGAACACAGCAAGAAAAGCAAGTCTGGGAAAGGTAATATAAGTTTGGTTTAGACCTGTTACATTTGAGATTCCTATTATACCTCCAGGTAGGGGTTCCAAGCAGGGAGCTAGATAGTAAGAACCAGGAATTCAGCAGAGAAGTCAGGGCCAGGAATAAATCTGACAGTCATCCACCAATAAGTGGAATTAGAACCATGAGACTGGATGGAATCGCTCAAGGAGTCAATCACCTGGCTGATTTTTTTTTCCCCCATGGGATTTAATAAAACAAAAAGAAACAAAGAGAAGAAATTAAACACAGCATGGTAAATCAGCTATACTTCAATGGAATTTAAAACAAGAAAAACACGGACAGGTTTAACAAAAGGCAAAACTAAAACTTAAGCCTTTACTTCTTGGAATGGTAATGACATACCTGTTGAGTGACTTCTTCTCTCACAGAATCCATGAAATCCTCATCGGTTGGGTAAAGTGCACAGGCAAACATAAAATCCTGCCATATCTAGCAAATCAAATAAGAGGCAACACAGTACTTCCATTGATTTCATTGCACAGAAGAAACTTCTCTGTCCTAAACCTTGGGCATTATCTTTCATGTAAACAAAAATCAACTTAGCCTGAAGTGTGTGACCGTTTTCGCAGTGCAAGGCATGAGGTACTGGGAAAGGCACTTTACAAACTCTCTAGGACTGTAAGGAAGCCTGAGAAGAGAAAACATTAGGTGTGCAGAAAAGAAAAAAAAACAGGAATTCAAATAAGGAAATAGTGCTTGTGTTGTGGAGAATATGAAATTCAGTAAAGATGTCTCCCAACCTCTCCTCATTTCTAATTCATTCTAATTTTCACCAGGAATTTGGTTTTGAGAAATGGCCCAGACTGTTAAGAAACGTACTTTTTTTAAAAATCAAAGGATTAACTTTTCATGGCCAAAAGGATCACTTCATGGACATTTTAGAGAGGAAACCACGTAAGTGCAATTGGGCTTCCCAGGTGGCGCTAGTGGTAAAGAATTCACCTGCTAATGTAGGAGACGCTAAAAGAAACGGGTTCAGTCCCTGGGTTGGGAGGATCCCCTGGAGTAGGAAATTGCAACATACTCCAGTATTCTTGCCCAGAGAATCCCATGGACAGAGGAGCTTGGTGGACAAGTGTCCACAGGTTGCAAAGTGCCAAAAATGACTCAGGATGCACCATTCAGGGAGGCCACAAGGAGAGTGGTTTAGAGCACAGAGCCATATCTGTTGGCCTGAGTCAGAACTTCATTCCCACCATATACCCACTGTGTGAGTTTGGGAAAGTTAGTTAACCTCTCCATATGCGAGTAAAAGGGGGATAGAGAACAACAGTAACTACCTCATATGGTGGGCATGAAGATGAAATAAAGTAATAAACGCAGAGCACTGAGAACAATGCCCAGAGTATTACAGAATATTGATACATCATGACCATCGGCATTATCAATGTTATTAAAATTACTACTCTTCTATGAAGTGCTTTACATCTTAGAACTGCAGCACTAGAATTAAAAGAACATATTTCCTTTGCCTAACCCTCACCAATGCAAACCATGTTCAGAAGTACTTAATGAGAGTATTAAACACATCTTTTAAAATGTAACCATTTTTCTTCTCTCTAGGTCTTGTTAGATCTCCTTAAAGTTAAAATTTTTTAATATTTTATTTTTCTTTTTATGCTTAACTTCTTATCACAAACCTCTTATCACCTCTTATTACAAAGAAAATATAGATATATGCTTAGATATAACCAATATGCAGAATGTCTATCATTTTAAAATAATCAAATAATTATGATATTTGCTATCAATTATGGCTCTGGGTTTGCTAGATGCCATTTATTTCTCTGCCAAAAAAAAAAAAAGTGGAACATCATTCTTGGCTCTGAGAAAAGAAGGAATGGGCTATGATACCACTTATATGTGGAATCTAAAATATGACACAAATGAATTTATGAAAGAGAAATATAACTTATGGTTATCAAAGGAGAAGGAGGTGGGGAGGGATAAATTAGGAGTTGAGGATTAGCAAATACAAACTATTACCTATAAAATAGATAAATAATAAGGACCTACTGCATAGCACAGGGAACTTTATTCAATATCCTGACATAAACCATAATGGAAAAGAATATGCAATACATGCATAACTGAATCACTTTGTTGTATTCCTGAAGCTAGCACAACATTGTAAATAAACTACACAACAACAACAAAAAACAAAGGAATGGGCAATATCCCCACTCAGAACACTGGAGGTCAAACTGAGGATATGGTAACATATCAACAAAATGGTGAGCTGTCAACTACATACCATTATTCCTAGTTCATCACAGAGTTTGTAGAATTCATCCTGCTCATAAATTCCTCCTCCCCAAACCCGGAGAGCATTCATGTTAGCATCCACAACAGACTGCAAAAGGAGCCGTAACCTACAGAAGAAAATTTTAAAACAAATGCTAATTTAAAATCTTGGGAACATTAAAAAAAAAGAACAAAATTTTAAGAAATATGCTGTGGTTGATAAACACATTTCAAATCACTGTTAAAAGAACACATTTTAATTATGATGGTTTGGATACAATGTACAGTGAAGAAAATGAGACAAAATTATATACACATTAACTGTAATTATAATTGACTTTGCTCATGGCTCAGACGGTAGAGAATCCATTTACAATGCAGGACATCCAGGATTGATCCCTGGGTTGGGAAGATCCCTTGGAGAAGGAAATGGCAACCCACTCCAGTGTTCTTGTCTAGAGAATTCCATGGACACAGGAGCCTGCAGGCTACAGTCCATGGGGTCGCAAAGAGTTGGACACGACTGAGCAACTAACACTTTCACTTCACTTTCTAACTGTAACCACATAAAAATAAACGTAGAAAAATTATGAGTGATATATTCTCTCTGCCTTCTAAGTTTTCAGTCACTATTACACTATTTTTAAAATTAAATTTTTGTCTTAAAGTTATTCCTATTGTAAACCTTAGAAACTATGTGTTCATTTTATATAACCATTTCAAACTATAAGACAAAAATCAGAGTTTGAATATTAGTTTCTAGCTCACTCTCATCCGTTTTTTTTTTTTTAAAACAATTCCTCCAGTCCAGTACCCCCTTATCTAGTAAATTTCCTTCTTGCTCTAATTCCTATTTACATCACCTTCAAGAAAGTTTAGAAATTTGCATCCACCTTGATAGCATGTACCTTCCATTTCCAGAACAGCACCCAGAAGGGGAGGAAAAAGTCCAATAACAGGAAGACCATGGACCCAGAGCACTGTGCTCCTAGTAAAGACACCTGTGGGCAGGTTTACTAACTGGCCCAGCTGTGCTGTACAGTTGCCACCAAAACCTACCAGGAGTGGAGTCAAAGTGTTAGTCGCTCAGTCGTGTCTGACTCTTTGCAACCCAACAATATTGAAGTGGGTTGCCATTTCCTACTCCAGGGAAGCTTCCCAGGTGGCGCTAGTGGTAAAGAGCCCTCTGCCAATGCAAGAGATGAAAGAGACAACCCCTGGGTTCAATCCCTGGGTTAGAAAGATCCTCTGGAGAAGGGCATCGCAATCCATTCCAGTATTCTTGCCTGGAGAATTCCACGGACAGAGGAGCCTGGTGCGCTACAGTCCGTGGGGTCACAAAGTCAGACACGACTGAAGCAACTTAGGATGCATGCACTCCAGGGGATCTTCCCAACCCAGGGATCAAACCTGGGCCTCTTGCATTGCAGGTAAATGCATCTGAGCCACCAGGGTGGGAAGGAGACAGCAAAACTTCCATGCTCTGTCTGAAGAATGATTTTATTTTCATATGAAATTCAAAAATATTACACATTTTAAAGTAAAATGATATTATTATAAATATAACTTTTGGCAAAATTAGAGTTTACCTATACCAACCCCATCTACATTCTAAACATAATATACCTCAATGCATATTTGTATAATATAAGTAAGTCCACCACTTCATGGCAAATAAGATGGAGAAACAGTAGAAACAGTGGCTGATTTTATTTTGGGGGGCTCTAAAATCACTACAGACGGTGACTGTAGCCATGAAATTAAAAGACGCTTGCTCCTTGGAAGGAAAGTTATGACCAACCTAGACAGCATATTAAAAAGCAAAGACATTACTTTGCCAACAAAGATCCAGCTAGTCAAGGCTATGGTTTTTCTAGTAGTCATGTATGGATGTGAGAGTTGGACTATAAAGAAAGCTGAGCGCCAAAGAATTGATGCTTTTGAACTGTGGTGTTGGAGAAGACTCTTGAGAGTTCCTTGGACTGCAAGGAGATCCAACCAGTCCATCCTAAAGGACGTCAGTCCTGGGTGTTCATTGGAAGGACTGATGCTGAAGCTGAAACTCCAATACTTTGGCCACCTGATGCAAAGAGCTGACTCATTGGAAAAGACCCTGATGCTGGGAAAGATTGAGAACAGGAGGGGAAGGGGACGACAGAGGATGAGGTGGTTGGATGGCATCACCGACTCAATTTGGACATGAGTTTGGGTAAACTCTGGGAGTTGGTGATGGACAGGGAGGCCTGGCGTGCTGCAGTCCATGGGGTCGCAAAGTGCCTAATACAACTGAGCGACTCAACTGAAGTGAACTGAAATGTGTTTATTTTCACCTCACAAAGCTTATTTTTACTATTACAAAGATAGCAGTTTATAAATCTAATCAGGAAATATTTTCTTGTTAACTCCTATTCTCAGAGCTTCAGAAAAACGCTTTGAAGATTTCTTTAGTACTTTTTACTAAAAGCATAATAAACATGAAGAATGTGTAAATATCTTAGCATGAAGAAGTAAACAGTTTTGATAAAGCACTGCATTACCAAATTTACCATTTACCATTTTTTTGGTAAAGCATACCAAACAAACAAACAAAAAAAACCCATGCTATTCTTCAAAAAAAAAATTTTAAGTCAAATTTAATCATCTTTTTTTACAGGGGCTAACTATCCAAGATGCACATTAGCCATTTTCTTGTTCCTCTGGAAACAATTTATAAAAATTAGATAGTTTCAGCAGTCTCAAATAGTTTAGCTGTAAGATGGTCTATAGCTCATGAGAATGAAATGACTTAAAAATTTTTTCCATTCTAGAGTTTTCATCATCCTAGAATTATATGTTCCCTCTTGGTTCCTTCCACCAGAACAACAACAAAAAATTTAAATGAGTAGCTCTTAAGCTCTGTGGGATTGATAATAATAAGAGGAACAAGAAATAAAGATGATAACTTACAAGGCAGAGGTTACTCTATCCTGGAATAAATCTGCAGGGATCCAATTCGAGCCTTTCAGAAATATGGGAAGGCCATTAATTTTGAAGTAGAAACTCAGACCAGGAGAATCTTGTATGGGCTCTTCTACAAGTTCCACTGTCCTAAAATAAACCTATTGTTAACAGAATTAAATAATGAATATAAAATTTAAAACATAAGCATATGCCAAAACCAAACCATATTATTTACTATAGCCTTAAAAAAAAAGTTTTTAAAAAAGCAAACTTCTGAGCAGTTTCTATGAACATAATTTAGTGTTAATTTTCTATCCACTTGAAGCTCTTAATGTGAAAGAGCATTTTTAAGAAAAAATATATATAAATTATTGCCAGATTCTGTTATTTCTCTTTGAGAATAAAACACAGAAACCATTAAAGAGTGAAAATATATTGTCTTTCCCACAAAGTAGCATTTGCAATAATGTCAAAAAATATATATTTGAGATAACATTTCAAAATTAAAACAAAAATTGATACTACTTCACAAAAGTGGGGGAGAAAAGTCACCAGTTAAGCAGATACACCTTTGAAAAACACGTTCTCATTTCAGTACTATTAAAATCTGCCAAAATGTGCATCTTAGAATCAAAGAAATACAGCACAAGGTATTTCATTATTTAACAATTTTCCATCTTAGGAGCTCAATATTATAAAAAACCATTTTGTTTAATGGGCAACTGAATCCTAACTAATTATCCATCAAACTCAATGTCTGAGAGAGCACAAGTAGAGAGACTGGAAACGGGAGCAATGTTTCAGCTGGAAGAAGGGACGGACTTATCATTGCTGTGTGAGAAGAAGCTAAGATCTTTGTCCCAGAGACAGTCCAGCCAGGTTTCTCCACAGTTAAGCATGAACAGCAAACTAGAAAAGACTGTATTCTTACCCAAATCTTCACTCTTTCCAGCCATAAACTAGATCAAGGAATGAGGGAGACAGTTTCATACCAATAAAGCCTCACCTTGAAAACAAGATTATGCATTTCTTCTCTAACTAAAAATAGTTAATAGATCAACTTATTTCATGTAGTAAAAGTGCCCACTGTTCTTTCACTTTCTGACGCTTAGCCTAATTAATACGACATAACAAAAGATACCAGAGTTAACTTTGTAGGAAGAAGGAGAACAAGGCCTTGATGAGGATGACCTTGACATGGAATTACCACATCTGCTTTAGGATGCAAAAATGTTCTTTAAAAAAATGGCTATTTTCAGAGGTAGCTTTCAAACATCTTGATGGCTGTTTCAAAGATCTAGAACAACAGTTAATTTAAGTGTGACTAGGGGACTATATGGGGTCCCTGGGAACCTTTCAAGGGGATCTCTGAGTTCAAAACTATCTTCACAGTAAAGCTAAAACATTACATGCCTTTTTCACTCTTACTCTTTTGAAGGTACAGTGGAATTTTCCAGAAGCTACAAGATGTGTGATGACATCATTCTGACAGCTCATGGAATTTGTGTTTGTATGTTCTGGTGTGTTCTATAGCAGAGGCTGAGGGCATAAAGAGGTACCTTCTCAGAGGTTAGCTCAATGTTTTCTGAGTACTACTCTGCTCTTCCGAGCTGTTGGTGATTATTCCTGCTATAATCTCTGTAGCCTCATTCCGGCTCAATAAATTCTTATTTTTAAACCCAAAGTTTTTGCTGCAACTTAAACAGAAATACAAAAGGATGAGGTACTGTTTGTTAACTTGTTCAAGTAATAATTTTTAAGTTTTCAAATAAAAATAAATTTTGATTTTTGAGACTCATTTAATGATACTTCATCTCATTCTAAAAGAAAACATTTATAGTGTTTTTCCTAATTTTTATCTTATTGTCTTAAAATGGGACTAGAAGATTAACATTCTCACCTACAACCACACTGTCTTACATTTCAAAGTGCTGGAAAAAATGAAACTGACTTATCTGTCTTCTGACTCAAGGAAGGGAGGAATCTACTCCAAAGAAACTGGGAAAAATAATAAGAAATGAGGCTGTGGTGAAAGCCATATTCCCTTCAACTTTATAGATGTTAATAATTTATCTTATAGTGCATTATGCAATTGGAGAAGGAAATGGCAACAACCCACTCCAGTACTCTTGCCTGGAGAATCCCACGGACAGAGGAGCCTGGCGGGCTACAGTCCATGGAGTTGCAAAGAGTTGGGACACAACTAAAGAGAATTAGCACCCATACATTATGCAATGCAACATGTAAATAACAATAATACTTATGGTACCAGTTACATTGTAGTATCATTTTGAGACCAATCATTCTTAGTATGAAGAAAAAGAAATTGAATATTTTAAACTTAGATGCGATAAGCTCTTCTGAAAGCAGTACATTCTTTACTACACTGTAGTACATTGTTAATGTCATGTTATCATATTTTTCAAACTAGAAATGAAAAAAGCCACTAGTACATCTCGTAGGGTTGGTTATCACACTGCATTTGCTAGGGAAGCACACATACTAGCTCAGAGAGTTTTACAGAGGGTAACATTGTTAGTGCCTTGGCAGAAATCAAGGCAGTGTCTCCAGTTTGTGCTGGTAGTCATTATATTCCTCACCTTCATGCATTATTGGTGGGAGGAGCCAGTTTCACTTAAGGACGTCCTTGATAAAGCAACAAAAAATCATTAATTCTATTAAATCCCAATCTTGAATACACATCATTGTAGTAGTCTGTGTGATGCAACGATGAAATGGCAACTATGAATAAAGCATCAACTATGAATAAAGCATCGTACAGGATGGATGTCTTTAGGAAAAGCATCTGTGCTGCAGTTTGAGTTGTAAGCTGAATTAGCCATCTGGTTCATAAAGCTTTATTTTAACTTGAAAGAACCACCAGAAAAACTATGTTTATTCAGATTGGTGACTTGATAGACATTTTCTTGAAAATGACTAACTGAGCCTTGTCATTTCAAGGCAAATTAACAGTTAAAAATTAGGATTTAGGAAAACTTGTACCCCCTACCAAGAGCTTGAGAACTTCCCAATACTTAAAAACATTTCAGAAGTTATTGACAGTGGTATTAACAAATATGAATGTGATTTTATATACTGAAATGGTTTAACATCTGGAAACATTTAAAAATCTCCAGACATTAACATTTTTCAAACAGCCAATGCATTATATTACAATATCATACATGCATAAAAGACCCATTACAACGAGAGCCCAGAAATAAACTCACGCGCCCATGGTTAATTACTCTTCGACAAAGAAGGCAAGAATATACAATGGGAAAAAGTCTCTTCAGCAAGTGGTGCTGGGAAAGCTGTAAATCAGTGCACATAAACCAGTGAAGTTAGAACACGCCCTCACACAATACACAAAAATAAACTCAAAATCGCTTAAAGACCTAAACAGAAGACCTGACACCATAAAACTCCTAGCAGAGAACACAGGCAAAACATCCTTTGACACAAATCATACCAAAGTTCTCTTAGGCTGGTCTCCCAAGGCAACAGAAATAAAAGCTAAAATAAACAAATGGGATCTAATCAAATTTACAACTTTTTGCACAGCAAAGGAAACCATAACCATAAACAAACCAAAAAGAACCTATGGACTGGGAAAAAAGATTTGCAAATAATGTGACTGACAAGGGCTTAATCTCCAAAATTTACAAACAGCTCATGCTTCCAGGGCTTCCCTCGTGGCTCAGAGAGTAAAGCGTCAGCCTACAATGTGGGAGACCTGGGTTCGATCCCTAGGTTGGGAAGATCCCCAGGAGAAGGAAATGGCAACCCACTCCAGTATTCTTGCCTGGAAAATCCCATGGACAGAGGAGCCTGGTAGGCTACAGTCCATGGGGTTGCAAAGAATAGGACACGACTGAGTGACTTCACTTAGTACTTAGCTCAATATAAAAAAACCAAGCAACTCAGTCAAAAGATAGCCAAAAGACCTAAACATGCATTTCTCCTAAAAACAGACAGAGATGGCCAACAGACACAGGAAAAGATGCTCAACACTGCTAATTATTAGAGAAGTGCAAATCAAAACTACAATGAGATAACACCTCAGGCCAGTCAGAACAGTCATCATTAAAAGTCTAAAAATAACAAATGCTGGAGAGGGTATGGGGAAAGGGAACGCTCCTACTCTGTTGGTGGGAGAGGAAGTTGGTGCAGTCACTATGGAAAACAGTATAGAGTTGCCATATGATCCAGCAATCCCATTCCTAGTTATATATGCAAATAAAACTATAATTCAAAATGATACATGTAACTCTGTGTTCCTAACAGCACTATTCACAACATCCAAGATACAGAAACAACCTAAATGTCCAACAGAGAAATGGATACAGTGGATGTGGTATATATACACACATGGAATACTACTGGAATGAAAAAAGAATAATGCCCATTTGCAGCAACATGGATAGACATACAGATTATCATACTAAGTGAAGTAAGTCAGAAAGACAAATACCATGTGATATCACATGTGGAATCTAAAATGTGATGCAAATGAACTTATTTATGAAACAGACTCACTGACCTAGAGAACAGACATGTGGTTGCCAAAGAGAGCATAGGGGGAAACGGAGTGGGAGTTTGGGTTAGCAGAGTATTTTTTCTTTACTGTGCAAATGTTTTCATGAAAAGACAGCTATCCCTATATCCCAGTTCTGACGGTAACAATTTTATGACCCCAGCAAAGTAAACCTTAAAACATCTGCAGTGCCTCAGAGGTGAAGCAGCAGTGATCAGGCACTTTGCCCCCTGCACACCCCTGGACAGGTCACAGGCTGGTCGGCCTACGACTAGTGTCTGTAAAACCATGTCCTCCGGCAGTTTCATCAGGTAACATAAAAGCCTTATTTTACAGCAAGTATTTTACCTCAGAGAAAATAATGCGCTCCTAGAAAGGTTTTCTGAAAAGACCCCTGAGTAACATATTTACATCTATAGTGAATATACTATCTCTTTACAAGATCAAAAATATTTTAAACAGCTCAAAAAAGTTACTTCTAAAAGTAGAAGTAGAAGGGTGTAAATATCTGAGAACATATATGTGTAAGTCAAGCAGCTTGAATTAAAAAAATTTATTTAATCGCCAAACTTTCTATTTAATGTTGAAAGTTCTATTAGCACCTCAATAAATAACTTTTTA